CTGAGCTAACTCAACAACCTCAAGTGTGAGTTAAATCTTCCAATCCTCAACCTTGCATCAGCTATACAATTTACTGCAGGTTCAAACGCTGAAACAATGAGCTGGAAAAAACGGCTTTTAAAACGGTAATTGGATCGGGAGAGAGGAATTTTGTAAGACCCTAGGGACCAAATTCGGTTGCAACAGAAGAGAAAAAACGGAGCCACTAACTCACCTGTTGTGGGGATCGGCGGTACTCCTCGAAGGCAATTCGGGAATGCAGGATGGCCAGTGTGTCTATCCACACACGCCAACCACCGTACTCGTAGCGCAGGGCATGGTAGAGGAGAACACGCAAAATCTCCATCACTGTTGCAGTAGCGAAACTGTTCTGGCGGGTAGTAGGAAAGAGGGAGGCCAGTCCGATGACCCAATCCTGCCACACAGACATCTGCAGTATTGCCCTGTCGTGGTGAAGAAAGTTGAGAGGAAACGATAAAGGATAGGAAGAACTCCACTGCTTTAAGTCAGAATTGGCACATGCGGTGAAAAAGCCCCCACCACTATGGACTCTGATGACAACACGCTTGAAGCAATACATGTCTACTGCAACACGTGGCTCGTCTGATACTATTTTGTGAGAACGGTGGATGACGGAGTTTCACCGGCTCATCAGTAGCGGCATTGGCTACTGTCAAACGCAAGGTAGCTTAATTAAAAGTCAGAAAGGAGTGTTCAAAATTTAGCAGGGAAAAGATGCGAATTGCAGGTGCTTGTAGCAGTTGCTCGTAATAATTCAAAGAAGCAAGTTAACCCTATCCCTCTATAGCAATAGTTTGTGAGCACAAATTTACCGACGCATCGGTTCATTAGAGACCCATCAAACAAGACCTTAACGGCAGTTTTTCTATTGTAATAGACGCTTGCTCTTTAAGTCTGGAGCCCCTAAGTTCGAATCCTCTTTAGTTTTCGGCAATCATTCGGGAAAGTAAATAGTTCACTGTCAGAGCTGACTCTCTTAACGTCATCCTGAACCACACTGGATCGATGGGCAGGTCAAATAAAGCAGAGTTCGACCAAGAGATAGAGTTAGAGAAAATGACGGAAAGCCATAGAAACAGCAAAAGAATTACCGTCGATTGTCCTCATGGCTGATACAAAGTGAGAGCAGATGTTCGAGGAAGGTCTGGCGCACTTGGAGCAGTTCTGGAGTTCTCTTGGCGTGTATAATTAACAGTGCTATTGTTTTCAGAAGGACTGTCGAAAAAAAGATACAAGACCGAAGGTAGACCAGAGAGTGACGAATTCAAGAATAAGAAAAGCAGTGAAGAATAGGAAGTTTGACGAACAAAGAGCTGGTTGTAAGGGTTACTGCTGTCAGCCACCAGTTCCGGAGCTTCAGCTGGACAGATTTTGTGGAGAACAATAGCCCTCTTTTGTTACTTAGAAGATGAAAGAAGCAAACAGTTTTCGCCAACTACTATTCATATTGATGTCGTGAGTATTAAAAGATTTCACAAAATACACTCATACAGTACTAACTACTGTCCCTTGGTAAATGACTTGGGAAAGACCAAATTTGTCTTTTTTAATAAACAAAAAACGGCTAATCGAATAGCATGCTTTGGTTTGATTTTATCACGCTTCAAAGCGCAAATATTTTTTCCAAAAGTCCCGGAGAAATGTAACTTGGTTAAGAAAAATACACATACTAAAGGAAATTGTGAAAATGTTATTACTCTAGATAACCCACCTGATGATTTAGTAGACAGTAAGCTTTTGCTAGCGCTCACGACATCAAATAATTCTAAATTTCATCGCCAGATAGCAGAAACCAAGCACTGCAAACCTTGAATTCTCCATGTATCCCAATCAGACTTTCAAGAAGACCGATAGTATTATTGCGTCCTTTAACATGATCCTGGAAGTCTACCACGATGAAATTTAGATCCCGTTGATCAACGTTCACCGATCGCTAATGGAAATCAGCTGTCCTGCTCTACCTTGGGGCTCATTCTCGAGCCCCGCCAGCAGCCGAACACGACTTGTACTGTGAGCAGATAGCATTGCTGGCAAACACAAGGGAGACAGTCTCTTGTGTCTTTGCTGGAAATGCTATCTGCTTACATGTTGACCTTTCAGAAACTCAGCGATATTTATATTTCATTTATGTTCAAGCAGAACTTCCTGGGGCAACATTAAAACGGAGATGCAACAAGACTAAGTCTGTAGGCCAACTGGCTATGATAAACAGGGGATACAGAGGAGATGAACCAAGAACGACAAACCATAGTCTGCATATTTTGTCGGCTCGTAAGCGACAACTGACAAATGGTATGAAGTAGGAATATACTACACTCCCAGCTCAAATTGATAATTTACTACCGTGAGAACATCTACGAAACATGCAATTAAGCGTTTTTAGGTCGTGACCACAATAAACTGCCTCGCTTTGATTCTCCTTTCTAGAACAGCTGCATGGCTTGCAAAAGTACACCCCGGAAACGTAAGAA